TCCTGCTCCTCTGATGCTGCTTGGCCTGCTGTGTTCTTCCAGCTCTACACCTTGTTATCTCAGATTCTCCAGCATCGGCAGTTCCCACTATCTCAGAAGCTGGTGATTCTGTGTAGTTCTGAGGGGTGATTGGGAGGCGATGGCTTAATGGTATTATTGCTAGACTATTAATCAGGAAACTCAGCTAATGTCCCAGGGACCCACGTTCAAATCCTGCCACAGCAGATGATGGAATTTTAATTCAATTCTTTAAAAAATATGGAACTAAGAAACTACTGATGACCATGAAACCATTGTCGATTGTTGGAAAAATCCATCTGGCTCACCAATGTTCTTTAGGAAGGAAACCTGCCACCCTCGCTTGATCTGGCCTAACGTGAATCCAAATACACGAAAATATGAAAGACTCTCAATTGCTCCCTGAAATGGCCTTGTAAGCTACTCAGTTCAAGGGCAGCTAGGAGAAGCAATACAAGATTTCAACATCCCTATGCAAGGCACTGGCATAGCTGCGCTCAGAATGCCAGTCTTAATAAAATAAAACAAAACAAAACATGAGAAGTATCTCTGCATGTACAACACAAATAGTAATGCAGGATTGGAAGGGGAATGGCAACAAAGGAAAAGAGGTTCCACCACAGTGGTTATTCAGGGAGGAGGGAAGCAAAATGGACATCAGTCTTGTCTTCAGTCTTTGAAAATGCTTAAATGACCTGACCAACTCAGCCATCAATGAATGGGAGTCTCACCATTAGGAACATTGGAATTAACTGAGCAATCTGTGACACAGTGAAATCAGAACAGCAAAATGGGAGGGGTATCACAAATAAGATAGAAGGGAGTATGTCAGCTGAGCAATGATGCAGCACCTCAGAATGGTAGTTCTTCTGCTTCATATTACTAAGCCTTTCTTAAAAAAAATGCTATTCTCATTTCATCTCTTACATGTTAGGTCAGGAAAAGTCATCTGACCTAGCACACCTTTGTCTCTCATAGTACAAATTGCACTGGAAAGAATTCTAATCAAGGAGTCAACTGATTGGACAATGAAGTGTAAAGTTAATGGCTGACAGCTGTCACTAATCTGATGAAATTTCCCGAACCCACCAGCTAGCCTAGGAACAAAGACAGGCCTTACATCATCTAAACTACCAATTCACAGACATACACAAAATAAGGAAAAAAGAATGGACGCTATTTAACAGAAAACTGAAATAATTTGCAGGTCAGAAACTAGCTTTGGCAGAAGCAAATGACATTTCAGGTCCCAGCCATTCCTTGGTATATCAGTGTATGTGAGACTCGATTGGTCTTTCAATTACAACATGCAGAGGAAAGCTAATACAATTATCTCACCATGCAGAAGAGAGGTCTAAATCAACTGTTAGTCTGAAAGCCTGTGTCAATCCATAAAAGCCTGTGTACGAATGAAAACTAAGTTCTGTTCACCCATCATACCCTGGCTCATTGACTTACATTGGCTCCTCTAAGATCACAGCATTTTTACAATTCAGAGCTCTCTCACATTCCTGATTTTTAATTGCTTTACCACTGGTGGTCATCCCTTCAAATGCTTCATCCCCAAGCTAGACATTTCGCTCCCTATAGTCAGTAGCTCACCTATGGACTCCTCAAAGCCAGTCCCTCGTCCATCCATCATCATAGGCACAAATCAGATCTGTGTGACTACCCTCCACTTCCCTGGATGAGCAAAGTTCCAACAATATTGGAGGTGCTCAACACCATATGATTGGCACTCCATTCACTACTGACACACAGCAATAGCAACATGTACTATCTACAAGGTGCAGTGCAGCATATTCCAAAGACATGACCTATCCCACTGTACCTAGAAGGATGAAGGAAGCTAAAACACAACCACCTGCAAGATCCCCTCCATGCCACACATCATCCTGACTTGGAATTACGTCACCAGTCTTTCATCGTCACTGAGTCAAAATTCAAAACTGTGTAACAGCACTGCGGCTGTACCTACAGAACACAGGTTACAGCAGTTCGAGGTGAAAGCTCACCAACACCTCAAGGCACTGTGGGATTTGTAATAAATGCTGGCTTAGCCAGTGATGCCCATATCCCATCAACAGAGCAAAAAAATCCTCTGCCTCTCTATCGTCATTTGGGACACTGCTTAAACCTACCTCTGACCTGTCTTACTCAATATAGCTCGAGTCAAATATTGTTTGACAACACTGTTGTAAAATGCTCTGCACATTCTAAAGGGTGAAGGGACCAATAAATACAAGTTGTTGTTGAAGGGGAATACATCAGCCTTTAATATACTTTCTGCTAATCTAGTCTGACATACACTGGTGTAGACACAAATGAGAAGTCCTTCAACTATGCCCAGAACTGTCAATGATTTCACTGGTGGGAAAATTTCTTCACTGCATTCACTCGTAACTGTGACAGGCACCTAGCAGTTACAATTACACATTTTGCCCTTTTAACTTAAGATTTGTCTGGAGGAAGGAATTTGAATTTTGTTTTGCTGCACACACTTGTGATTACAGGTCTGGGCAGCACAGGAAGCACTTGAGGTAATGAATTAAAAATATCATATGGCAAGGGCTATTTGGAATTTAAAATCCACTTGATCTGCTGTTCCAGATACTAATACAATGATATAGCTAATGTAACACCACCCTGGTGAGACAGGTCACAGACAGGTAGCAGCTGAGTGGAAAATTTCCACCTCATCTCAACAGCAAAGTATAGGAAAGGAGATCGAAATTCACATGTTCAAAACTACAAAACAATCACACAGTCTTAGAAAAGTTTCTACAGTTCAATCTTCACACCGGTCAGCTCTGAGTACAATGGATCAATATTCAAAGAGATGCGGACCAGAATTGTACACACATTTCAAATTATACCAATTACTTCCATCTTTACACACCACAGCCCAACTTCTCCTCCAGACTTTGGGCCAAACAACATCACAGATGCTGAGTCAATGAACAGTGAGGTTCCTCTCTTCACATCTGCAGAGACGTGTGTTACATTCTAGTCTTAAGGGCTACATTAAAAATTAACTTTGCTGCCCTTTAATTCACTGATATCTCAAACCGACTGATACATGACCAAGTGTTTCATTGGAGGTAAAGTAGCTTGGGACACCTTGAGGTTGTGGCAGGCTTTATGAAATGCAAGTCTGTCTTTCTGATCAAAAGATAGAATTACTGTAATTTAGGACTGTAATTCACATAACAAAAGGCCATTTGACTCATCATTTCTGTGCTGTTGAAAAATCAGCTCACCACCCTGATTTCACATTCCAGCTCTTGATCAGTTTAATAGGTTATGGCATTTCAAGTGCAAACCAAATGTCTTCTAAATGGGATAAAGGCTTATCTGTCTTTGCCTTCCAGGCAGTGAATACTAAATCCCCCGCATCTTCTGGCCAAGATAATTATTCCTAATTTCCTTTCTAATCCTTTTATCAACGAAATTACATCATGAGAGACACAGCAAGAACTGCAGATGCTGGCGTCAGAGTTAACACAGCGTGGAGTTGGAGGAACACAGCAGGTCAGGCAGCATCAGAGGAGCAGGAAAGTCGATGTTTCAGGTTGGGTCCCTTCATCGGGACCGGCAAAGGTTCCTGACCCAAAACGTCGACTTTCCTGCTCCTCTAATGCTGCCTGACCTGCTGTGTTCCTCCAGCTCCCCATTGTATTGACTAAATTACATCAATGATCCCTAGCTGCTGTTGAGGGAAATAGTACCTTCCCATCCACGCAATCTAGACCCCTCAAGTCTTTTTTTCATCACAATTAAATCTTCCCATGGTTGCCTATTCCAATGGAAACATTTCCTCATAGCTGAAATTCTCCACTCCTCGCCACACCCTTGTAATTCTTCTCTGTAACCTCTCCACTGAGATCACAGAACTGTACACAGTGTACTTGCTGAGGTCTAACCACAGCTTTATACAGTTTAAGCAAAAACTCTCCCTCAAATATTCTAGGCTTTGGCTAATAAGGAAATTATTCCATACACATTCTTTACTAATTTATTGACTGCTCATGGTTTTTTTAAAATCAGAATTATGTGGAACGTACTCAAAAGTCTCTCTTTTTCCACAAACTTCACAATATCGCACCAGCTGTTGTTATTTCTTTGCCCTCCCAAAATCTAATACCTCTCATTTCTGTAGATGGAATTCTGTTTGACTACCTGACCAGCACATTGCTATCTTGATGCATTCTGCAAGTTTCTCACTCATGGCCCTAATTTAAAGTCCAAGTGATCATGGATTGAAAATTTCTCCATCAATTAAAGGTATGCTGCTCAGAAGACCCAATTTCAAAGCAGCCCACAGAACCGAAACAAAGTTGGAGATCAAAAACCCTAAAGAATTAAACACATCTGTCCTATTCAATACCAAACTTCACTGGGATGCTAGAGTTTAGGTTTAGCTCTCATATTCTTTCAGAGAAATGCTAACTACCCAAATAAATTGTGAAAATCCTTCTCAGCACAGTGCACAAACTCAAATGTGCTGCATCATGAAATAACAGTGTGATGGAGTATCACAGCAAGCTAGGCTTATGGTGTCTCTCCATATCATCGATTAAATTCAAAGTGATTTTAAACATTTTCCCAAATTAGCAAACTCAGATCAACACTACCTTGGAGGTAGAATCTCTGAATCAGACAGAACGTAGGATGATCATTCAGCCCAGTGTCTGCCAGCTCTCTTATAGAAGTCAGGGCCAAACGCTCTTTAGCGTTAAGGACCTGGGTAGACAGGGTTGGCGTATCTGAAGGGAAAGGGGTATAGGGTTAGGGATAAGCGGTCAGACTCCCTGTGTAGAGGATGAAGGGTTATAGGTTTAGGGATTAACAGTCAGGACTCTGTGCGGAGGGTGAGGGTTTATAGGGTTCAGGATCAGAGGGTGAGGGTTTATAGTGGTTAGGGAATAAGGAGTCAGATACCATGTGTGGACAAAAAGAGATTCGTGACGGACTACAGGACAACGACCTAGTGTGGAAGGTGAGGGATTTGGGGTCAGAGTTAGGGATCAGGTACACTGTATAGATTCCCAGGCTTTGCAGTGTAGGGACCTGGCGCATGAAGCTGGATAAAGCTCTTACCCAGCCACCGTGCTGCCGGATCCAAGGGTCCAGGTTGTTCTCCAGGTAGGTACTCATCCAGTCGGCGATGCGGGGCACCAATGCGCCCATCTCCTTCTCGGCGCTTTCCACACTCAGGGCCGCCCCGAAACAGAAGAATGCCACCAGCCGGCCCCAGTTAACGCCGTCGCGGAACAGCTCGCCCACCACCTGCTCGAAGCGCCGGTATGCCGTGTCCGGGGTAACGCGGAGCTGCGCCGACAGATCGCTGAAAGCCCGGCGGTAGCGCAGCTCGAACTCCTCAGCGGCATCCAACAGGGCCTGGCGGGCCCGCTCAGCCTCGGGCCTGCCATTGCACACAGCCGCTCCGGGCTCGGGCTGTGTCCCCAGGCCCGCCGCTCCATTCTGCTCACAAAGCCATCTCCAGTTGTGGCCCCTCTGGGACAGTTTGTAACGGAGGAAATCAGCGACCAGCTCCCCGCTACTGTACATCCTGCAGCGTCGGCACCTCACACAGTAGCCGGCATGACGGACACGAGAGATTCACAGTTCGGTGCCCGCCCGCAAACACAGGCCTGCCCCTTCCCCCCACACCCACTGGGCCAGGCCCTCAGGGGCCACGCCCACCGCGGGGTCACCGCCTGCAATAGACCCCGCCCACTTCCCGGACACCGCCCCGCTATAGGCCCCGCCCACTGCCCGGTCACCTCCCTGCTATAGGCCCCGCCCACTGCCCGGACACCGCACCGCTATAGGCCCCGCCCACTGCCCCGTCACCGCCCTGCCAAAGGCCCCGCCCGCTGCCCGGTCACCGCCCCGCTATAGGCCCCGCCCACTGCCCGGTCACCGCCCTGCTATAGGCCCCGTCCATTGCACATGAGGCCCCGCCCCCTAGGCCTACCTGCTCACGGAGACTGCGCCCCACATTGACCCGCCTATCCGGGCTCCAGTAGCTATCGCAGCCCCGCCCCCGTGACCCAGCGCTGGCACGACCTAGGTTAGGATGGAGTGTGGGCGGGAGGTTGCAGCAGGTCGTATTCCTATCTATCTTCTACCCTTGTCTGTCTTCATGTTGTGGATTTGGAAGGTGCTGTTGAAGGATCTTTTGGCTCATTTCTGTATTGCATCTTGTAGATGGCACAATGCCGCTACTTAGCACTGATGGTGGAGGGAATGGATGGCTGTGGATGTGGATCAAGTGAGTTGCTTTGTCCTAGATGGTGTCAAGCTTCTTGAGTGTCATTGGAGCTGCGTTCATCCACAAGTGGGGAGTATTCCATCACACTCCTGACTTGTGCCTTGTAGGTGCTGGACAGACTTTGGGGAATCAGGAGGTGAATTATTCACTGCAGTATCCTTAGCTTTTGACCTACTCTTGTAGCTACAGTATTTACTCCAGTTGAAAGTTTTTGAGAAGATTTGTAGCTCAGATGAGCTTCACCAGAGGCCCACTGACAATGTTACCTAGCAGGGTGACAAAACGTCTGAAATCAAATACACCAGCTTGGTGAGCAAGCCTGCAACCTTACTCCAATTGAGTTTCTGGCCAATGGTAACCCAGGAGATGTTGGTAGAGGTTGCAGTGATGGTAATGCCATTGAATGTTAAGAGACAATGTTTAGTTTATCTTGTGCCTTGTAGATGGTGGTCAGGGTTTGGGGATTTAACTGTAGCTGCAAACATCTTCTGATCATGAGGACATTGACTTTTATCTGTTGTTCCAGGAAGGTCTGCATTATCTATGCTATCCAGTCATCTTGTTGAACTGCAGTTTCTATTCTAACATTGGGATCTCTCTGCACTATGCCCCTATGAGGATGTCTGCCAGAAATCCTCATTATTGCATCTGGCTTTATCCTCCTAAATGTATTTCCTGAATCAGTATTCAAACTGGAACTGGGTTTCTCCATTCTCATTCTCATATTGCCTGTTGCCAATCCACAGCCCTCACATCATGTCCCTCGTCTTGGTCATTTAGCCAGTATTTATATTTTCCCACAGACTTGCCTTCACGACCCACTATTGTGGCCACCCTACTTCAGCTCAATCAGTGGCAAGGTAACCACTTGTGAACTTATTTTGGTAAAATGATCCCTACATGAGATAACTTCATGTTCTTCATGATTGGTACATTTATCAGTGTGCATTTTCTGAGCCCTTAGGCCCTGCCCCTCGGCACCAATTTGTAGAACTCACTGGTATATAAAGTACCTGGTTCTTTGCCATCAACACCTTTGCTCATGTTCTCAGAGTCCGAAAATTCATCTTCGTATCTGCGTGTTGAAGAGAACATGATAGGTGTTTTTAATGGGAGACTAGACAACTGTATGGGGACTGAAGTTGAGAGGGACTCAAGTAGAGAATAAATGTTTGTATGGACCTATTGGGTTAAATGCCCTATCTCACTGTCATATATCAAGAATAATTCCTAACTGATTTTGTGGGCTTTTGAGGCATTACTTTTGATCTTATCAGATCCTGACATTGCTACCTGGTACCTGTTATGCCCAGATCCTGGGCAAGTTCCCACATTGGATAATCCCAAACTCTTAATATCCTGGCTCCACTTTTTCCAGCCACTCCTTCTGGGTTTTGGATCCAAAGGATCCCTTTATCTTTCAGATGGACTTGACTCCTTTTTTAAAGCGCATATAACCAGGTTTATTGAATTAAGAGTGATTATATGCAAGAAGAAATACTAAGTTTGCATATGTAAAATTTATATAAAATACGAAGTTTAAATAAATGAAATACTTTAAATAAGTTTATGGATGACACCAAGATTGGTGGTAAAGTGGACAGTGAAGAAGGTTATCTAAGATTACAAGAGATCATAATCAATTGGGCTACTAAAGAGTAGCAAATGGAGTTTAATTTGGAAAATAATGTGAGGTATTGCATTTTGGAAAACAAACAAAGACACGACTTATACAATTAAAAGTAGGGTCTTGGGCAGTGTTGTAGAACAGAGAGACCAGGGGTTTCAGGTAAATAATTATTTGAAGTTCGTGTCACATAAAGAAAGCAGACATTAGTCTCAGAGATAGTAGGAACTGCAGATGCTGGAGAATCTGAGATAACAAGGAAGGATATTTAGGAAGGATATTATTAAGCTGGAGAGGGTTCAGAAGAGATTTACCAGGACAATGCTGGGAATGGATGGTTTGGGTTATAAAGAGAGGCTGGAAAGGTGGGACGTAGGAGGTTGAGAAGTGACCTGCTAGAAGTTTATAAATTAATAAGCGGTATGAGTGGCAGTTGTCTTTTCCGTAGAGTGGGGGATTTCAAGTCTGGGGGTCATATTTTTAAGGTGAGAGGAAAAATATTTTAAAAAAGCCATGAGGGGCAATATTGTTACACAGAGACTGGTTCATGTATGGAATGAGTTTTTTTAATTCATTAACAGGATGAGGGCATTACTAGCTAAGCAGCATTTATTGCCCATCACTAATCAACCAGAGGGCAGTTCAGAGTCAACCATATTGCTGTGGGTCTGGAGTCACATGTAGGCTAGACCAGGTAAGGATGGCAGTTTCCTTTTCTAAAGGACATTAGTGAACCAGATGGGTTTTTCCGACAATGGACAATGGATTCATGGTGATCGTTAGATTCTTAATTTCAAATGTATTATTGAATTCAAATTCCACTGTCTGCCATGGCAGGATTCGAACCCAGGTCCCCAGAATGCTATCTGGGTCACTGGAATTAACAGTCCAGCGATGAAAGTACAAGGCCATCGCCTCCCCCTTTCAGAGGAACTGGTGGATGCAGGTACAGTTACAATGTTTAAAATGTTTGGAGGGATATGGGCCAAGCACAGGCAGATGGGACTAGTTTAGTTTGGGATTATGGTCAGCATGGACTGGTGGTACTGAAGGGTCTGATTCCATACTGTATGACTGTTTGAACTTATCACCACTAGCCATGAGTAATGTACTCCTATAGTTTGAGTCCTGTGAAAGTTTTCCTGTCACATCCAATAACCTTTGCTGGATCTTTGCATTTGCTGTGTCCTTCTGGCTTATCATAAACCACGTCACTGGATTTGAAATCTCCCCCAAAGCATCTGATGCAATATGTCAATGCTCTCCAATCTTCTCAGCTTTAACGAGTGCTTTCACACTGGTGCTGATTGCCATATATTCTAGTGCTGTAGGATCATCATGCAGTATAGAAGGCAACATTCTGAGCATGTACTAAGGTATGGGCTAAAACTGCCAACTATTTATAAAGAACATTTTGCATTTACTGCCCAATGCCAGTGTCTTTTGTAACTTTCTGTTTGACTGATTTGCCAATATTTTGTGTAGTGCCTCATTAATTATTGGATGGTTTCTTTCATGCAAGCCATTGCTGAATGGACTTTCTGCAACAATATGCATTACTACAATATTTATATTCTCACACATGTCCCAAAATTTGTCATCTGCAAATTCACCTTCATTATCCATTGTGACCCAAGGACTGTGCTGGCCCACTTTTCCATGACTTTTTCCACCATTGTCCACCTACCCTTATTGTTTATCATTGTGTATATGGTAAACCTGGTCACCATATCTACAAAATCTAATAGACATTCTGATCTTTGACCCATATCTTCAGATCCATCACTATTACTTCATTAAATTTCAGACTGTAGGAACTTACAACCAGGCATGGTGGGGTCTTGCAATATTCAATCCCCATATCACAATGCAATGTGATTTGTTTGACAAGGGATTCCTGTTCTTTGTCTACAACTCTGACATCCTTTAGCAGTAGCTGTAATTTTTGTGAAAAGTGGTGAGCAAATTGTTTATGTGATTTCCATATAATCATCTTCTTATCTGCCAAACTTATATCTACAAATGTTGATAACACTTCTGTCATCCCTTGATGAGAAAATCCTGAATCGTCTCGATGGAATACAGTAATGCCTGGATCCTGTAAATTGCGAATTTACAGCTTTACTGAATACAAATGCTTAGTCATGTTTGGACATGGAGAACGATAATGCTTTTTCATTGAACACTTATTCTACAACATGCTATGTCATTCTGAATGACATCAATGCTTATGAGATGACAGCATCCTGCAATTTCACAGGGGTGAACCACTCTCTTTAAAGATGGTAATGAATTATCACCCCCAATTGAAAGCAGGTAGTGCTTTCATATTCTTTAATGCAATTTTTGTCTGCTTTTTGTAACAACAGTTCAATCAATCAACACCAGACACTGTTACAGTCTTATCTGGTACCGCACAATTGAATGACTCAGCAACTAAGCTACTTTTGGGTCAACTTAAGTCTTTGATGACGAACACAACATTTTCTTGCCGTTCATCATTAACATATTCACCCTCAGAACCATCTCTTTCATGAAATATTCAAATAAAAGCGATGTACTCTACTGCAGATGCTGGTGTTCTCAACTAAAAACAAAAAATGCTGAAGAAGCACAGCACATTGGCAGCAATGACAGAGAAAGGGTTAATGTTTTAAAGCGAGTATGTGTGTTCATTTTGTGGTTGTCCAGGACAGATGGGGTAAGAAAAGGAGGGGAGAGGGCAGGTGGGAGTGGGAACGAGGACCCACTAGAGAGGGAGAATGGGAGAAAGAAA